ATGCGTGAGAGGAATAAACTGGCTATATCAGCAGCTATCAATAGTATATATATTTGTCATTCAAAATGAAAAACCGAAACAAAGATATACGAGATAAACGCAGATATACGAAACGTAAACAAAGCAGCGCTTGCTTTCCATTTTGAACGTTGATAACTTTAATCATTTTAAGCGGCTCATATTGTTATGAAAACATTTAAGTGTGATGTGTCTTCTGTTTTCTAGGACTCTTAGTTTGAGGTTTTCTTGGATTCTTAAGTTTTTTTTTTTTTCATTGTGGTATATTTACATTTCTGTTGCTTTTTTCCTGTTTCCTTGGTTACCGAATCATGTTCACCTGAATATAGTTTCGTTCCTTATTTTATTTTGTGAATATACACCCTCTGTCCATTCAGATTTCTGTAAGTTCTTTTCTTAACACTGCCTATATTTTATTAGCAAGTTAAGCTGTGATGTTTTTTTGTATTTCCTGTGGATTTATGCCTTCTTTTTGTTTGTCTTTTAGTCATGGATTGTTTTCACTTGTAAATAAAAGGCAAAAAGTAAATCATTTCTGTAGTAAGTACTTTTTTTTTTTTTAAATACATGCAAAGTGTACTTCTTTTGCACAAGAGAATGTCTTGTTTTTGTGTGTTATTTTGAAAAGGGGAATAAGCTGATGCGCAGTTCTCAGGCATAAACACACTCACCCCACTGGTCTGGTCAGGAACTGAAGAGGAAAGAGTTTCTTGAGCTTCTGCACTGAGATTTAGACCCATGAACTCATTCAGCTCAGGGTACAACCTGCTAGAAGTAGCTAAAGAGAGACAGACAACATTAAAAATGGTCTAAGCTAAGTGAGAAAAATCTGATAACTCAAATTTACTTGTTTCTATGAGTTTTCCAGGCATGAAAATATCAGTTTTGGAATTTCCATAATATTTCCTGATTGTTCAAGACTGTAAGAACCCTATATATTCAGTAATGCTTTAGTTTAGAGACAGTTAACCATTTACTTATTAGCATGCATATTACTAGTATATTGGCTGTTTATTAGTACTTATACAGCACATATTAATGCCTTATTATGCATGACCATATTTTAGATCCCTTAATCCTACCCCATACTAAACTTAACAACAACCTTACTGTTAATAAGCAGCAAATTAGGAGTTTATTGAGGCAAAAGTCAAAGTTAATAGTGAAAATTGGTTCCCAAACTAAAGTGGGAATATATATTCTAAAGCCTCTTGTGAGGTACCCATGGCACCCTTATTTGAAGCTCAGCCTCAGGGTCTAAATCTCTTTTCTGTCATAAATTTTGTAATCATACATAGATACAGCACAGTATCTGATTCTTACCTATCTCTTCAGATTTTGCATCATAGTAAGGCTCAGGTTCTGGAAGAGTTAAAGCCTTTAATGGGCTCGTAGTAGGGGTGTTCTGCGCCTACATAAAATGGGGGGTTGTGGGGGCGCTGGGTTAGCATTTTGGATAGATAGATATATAGTTTTAAATACACACATACACATACATACATACATACACACATAAATAAATCAATGTCCAACCTTCATGAACTTATCTACCTTCATGTCTTCTAGAGATGGATACAGTGACATGGTTATTATTCTGTTTCGAGCACACTGGATGAATTTCCTGAAGAAATGTTAATGTTTTAGTTATTGTAACAATAGAAATACAATTTACTATTTAAAAACATAAACCACGTCATAGAAAGGTAGTCCAGCCAATTATTATTATTATTATTATTATTATTATTATTACTAGATTTAAAACGCATCTTTATTCTATGTCCTTTCCAGATTTTTAATTTATGGATTAGTGTTGTTATCTTGGATTTTAATTTATATTTTATTTTATACTTTACTGTATTTTATGATTGTTTTGTACAGCATTTTGGTCAGTGTAAGCTGAATTTAAATGTGCTCTATAAATAAAATGTTCTTACTTACTACTACTACTACTATTATTATTATTATTTGTTTGGATCACCTGTAAATAAACTGCACTTGGGTTCTTCACTACACTCGCCTTCAGTGGACTGATTCGTTACAAAATGACAACAAATATAGGCTATTAGGCTACTGGTCGTTTGCGCAAGAAGGTTTGTTGCTTGAATCTACAGGTTGCGCGTTATATAGAATAAAAGACAGCGCAATTTAAGAGATTACATAGAAATAATTAATAGTTATACATAATAGCTGTGACTGTGACAAGTCAACGTTAGCTCGTTTTCTGACGCTTTATAAGAATGCGGCCAGGATGATGCGCACTCACCTTGACGCCCCTTAACGAAAAGTAGTATACTTCAAGTTTATTTTAGTAAGTATACTTAAGTAAAGTTCAAGTATATTTTTAAGTATACTTTATGTAGTAAGTATACAAATATCAGTGTACTAGTAGTATACTTGTAAGTGTACTATTTCAATACTCCTTGGGACTAAATTGGCCCACTTT